TATTTAAGAATTTATATTAATATCCAAAATATTTCATACATATAAGTACTATTATTTTTAGAGAAGCAGATATCACTTATAATGAAGAATTAGATCCTGTCGCATATAAAGCGATAATTGCACGCTTAATTGGACATGGGATGGTACAAAAATATATTGGAAATGTGTTCAGACCAACTTACTTACCAACTTACTGGTCTCATACATGGTTAAACGAAGGATTTTAAAATATGTTATCAAGCATACCTTATCGACAAGGTTATTTTATTACTAATGCTATTTGAATACGTAGACAAATGATTAACAGTTTAGCATTGTACATAATTGTAAATATTTATACAAATATTCTAATTTGTTTCTTAATTATAAGAAATAATAAAAATCAGAATCTGCTAAATTTCTAGAAATCCAGTAAATGACATTTAATAAGAACTCTATATATATATATATATATATATATATATATATATATATATGTGTGTTTATATATTAAAATTATCGTAGTAAAATATATTTACACACTGAAACACATTTAAAAAATTTATTCTTAACAAATTAAATCAAAATATGCACATCAGAGCCACAGCGCGATAGTCGGAACGCAGAGAAGAAACATTTCCTTCTTTTTTATTATTTGTTTACTTAAAACTTAAAATTAAAATTAAAATTAATGGGCAAATGTTTCGGATCTTTTTTTGATCCTCTCTCGAAAAGAAGGAAATGATATTTCTTCCCTGCGCTTCAACTACCGCGCTATGTCTCTGATGTCAAATTTCATTTAATTTTTTATTTTTGAGCCAAATTCCAAACTATTAATTTTTATTCTTAACAATAGTACATAATAATGCTACTTTTAAAATGTTCCGTAAACTATTTGTTTTATTATTTATCATTAGTTATGATTATATCGAATTGATTTTAGGCTCTGTCAAGTTCCCGGATGATGGATTTGTTTGTAGTTCAAGTTCAACATGAATTGCTGTATCTAAATACTTATGTTGTTATAAATTCTACTATAGAATATAATAGTTATCCTGAAAATTATTTTCACTCTTCTCTTTCTCATATCAAAGGTATGCGTATAACATTGCATAATTAAACAATTACATAATTACAAATTTCCGACTGTTAATTTCATATAAAATGGGAAAAATCAATTTATAAACAAAAGACCCTGTGCGATTCTGATGAAAATTGAATTTTAATGTTTGGTGAAATTTGCAGAAACTCTAAAAATAAATAGTTTATATGGCAAATCAAAAGTCAGATTAACCGCGGTATCGTTTGATGAAGCCATTTCGTCACTACAAGCGTTCGAATGTCGAAATAAAGCGTTATTTCAGTACTACTGAGGAAAAATAAATAATGTATTATTGAATAGAATTACACACACAGTTGATCACTTTTATTAATATGTAGATATTATATTTACATGGAAAAAATATACATGCATGTATATATAAAGTGTCCATAAAGTTCTCCTTCACTACATTTTAGAAACGGTTCAAAAATTATGAAAACTATAAAACGAGAGTTCAATTATTTTGAGAGGCTTGCCTTTTAAAGAAACTAAAGAAATTGTATCTGTCCTCCATTCAAAAGAGGAGACTTAGGAAAAATCTGTATTATTACACTTTTAATTAATTATCAAATATCAAATAGCATACTTTGGCGACACCAGCGATGCGGCGACACACATATTTTTTCCATGTAAATATATAAGTAAATGTATTAATAAAAAATGACCAACTGTGTATTAGTCTAATATATTAGTTATTTTTTCTTGTATATGTTTAAGACACCAAAAGATAATAAAACATAAAACTTTATCTCTATCCGATTCTTTACAATTGTCTAATTTATTTATTTAATTGTTTTATTATTTTTACGAATATTTAATCAAAAAAATAGAGGTGTTAATGGCCCGTTTATAGTAATAATACAAAATTAAATTAAGAAAAGGTTTCGGGCCGTGACGTAGGGTAATGGTACGAAATAGCTATAAAAGGTTAAAACTGCAAAGACAGACAACTAAGATTGAAAAGTAAATTTATACAGGAAATTTAATAGGAAAATCTGTCAAAGCATAAAACTTATTAAATACATTTTGAGAGACAAACGCATGTTGCGATCTACTACAGATCCTTTTCAATGTCATATAAAATTATAAAAATAAACGCTAAGCATGAAACAAAGAAAGTCAGGAGGACCTTATTGACGGTTACAAATTTAAACGCATAAAAGAACGGTCGAAAATGCACATAGTAGAAAACACAAAAATTGAATAAAAAACATAAAAAGCTGGAAGAGAGCAGCTCACTTCGATATCAAGTCTTAATACGCTATAACTGAAATCAGAGAGAGAACGCGTCTCGAATCTCAGTTCCCTCGATGAATCCGTCCAAAGAATAAAAATTAAAAAATTAAGATGTCCATAGAAAAGTCGTACAGATAAAATTGGCAGTTATAATCCAAAACTACATCTCTCAAATATTAAATCAGTCCACACACGTAATAGATACTGAATTTGATAGCGAGGTGGCTTTCTCTAACAGATTTTTGCTCACTGGCTAGCTGCCACCTCCAGACGCCTTCTCTCTCTGATTTTAGTTATAGCGCATTAAGACTTGATATCGAGGTGAGCTCCGCTCTCTTGCAGCTTTTTATGCTTTTTATGCTTTTATTCAATTTTTGCGTTTTCTACTATGTGTATTTTCGATCGTTTCTTTATGCGTTTAAATTTGTAACGGTCAATGAGATCTTCATAACCTCCTTTGTTTCATGCTTAGCGTTTATTTTCATAATTTTGTATGACATTGAAAAGGATCTGTAGCAGATCGAAACATGCGTTTGTCTCTCAAATGTATTTAATAATCTTTGTGCTTTGACAGATTTTTGCTATTAAATTTATCTTTCAATCTTAATGGTCTGTCTTTGCAGTTTTAACTCTTTATAGCTATTTCGTACCACCACCCTACGTCACGGCCCGAAGCCTTTTCTTAATTTAATTTTGAATATTTAATCATTTACTATTTATCTATTATTATAAATTTTTTCGTTAAAATGAATTCAACAATTTTTTGTAGCTGTTTACTTTGATTTAATTGCCCAAATTTTGTATATGATATATTTAGTTTTATTAATTACGGATATATTCGGAAACCTTTATTGCGCATTGTAGAAAAGACAATTTAAATATACTAAATTTTTTCTCTTTTAAACATTATAGGATCCATTATATGGCGCATGTTAATAGAAGCAATGCCACCTTATACATTTAGAAAGGCATTCGACGAATATATGAACAATAAGTAAGTATAATGTATTGTAATGTAATAATATATATCATAGAGGAAAAGGAAATCAAGAATATATAATAAAATTAATAATATATTTCTCCCGTTGTAATGTTTACAAGACATAGATATTTGAAATCTCAAACTTATACTGAGATTTATATTTATGAATTTTTGTCAAGATTGAATTTCAACTTGAATATTTCTTAATAAATATGTAATAGAAATTCATATTTTCTAAATAACAAACAATTCAAATTAAATAATTTCGAGAATCTAGTTTTACAAACATAGAATATAGAAAATCTTTGTAACATGAAATTTAAAATTATTATTTACTCAATGATGACACAGTGTGACATAATTGTTAATAAATATATATTAATATATTATAGTAAATAATATATTAAATAAAAATATACAATTAAAATATAAATAAAATATAAAATTCTCGAATCTATCGTGTATACAGTATATATATGCACGAATAATTCTATGTATATATATATATATATATATATATATATATATATAAAATTAACAAATCAGTTTCAATAGCAATACGAGTCGAGCGACGATGTTATGACACATTTATTTATATATTATACAATAAAAAGCATGAATTAAAAATAAAAAAATAAAAAAAAAAGAGGAATAGCGAACGTTTCGACCCTATTTTTGGGTCATCTTCAGCGCAAATGTGATGGTAAAAATATAATTAATGTGTTACATATCTGAATCGATGAGATAGAATGCCGTCCAAAGTAATTCTAAATCTCTCGGTATCTCATTATCTTGTCAATGTAAAAGTGAAACAAGCTAAATTGATAATGTAAACTAATACATAATGGAAAAAATATTAAAATTTACGTAAAAAGATTAAAAAGATGCAAAGAATTAAATGTCCATTTTTAAAAAATTTTTGAAATAAATATAAACTGAACATAGAGTCAAAAAGAAGTAAAAATTAAAGAAATCAGAAGATAAAACTATGAAATTGAAACATATTTTCAGGCATCGAAGATAATGACGAGTCGAGGAGACAAATGGGAACAAATCAACATCTCCAAAAACAAAGAACGACTAGTCTTTAACAGATAGATGTGACCAATTTAAACAGTAAAGGGTCAAATGATATATAAATATATATATAAGCAAAGTCGCAGACCTATTTGTTATGGTGAAAAACTAAATTAAATTTTTGACAAATTGTTTACAATATTTAAATAAATTTCTGGTAAACGTTCAGTATCCGTTTGCAAATTTAAATCATTTTTTTGTCTTTTTATATACAACATTTCAGAAATCAATCTCTTACTCAAAAATGGTTCCCGATCTAAAATCTGTACGTCCTCCCAATCAAAACCGATTCTGTGATTGATGATGACAGACTGATTGTGAGTATTAGTATTGCATCTAATATAACTGCAATCGTTCGTTGATTCTGGTATGCAGTTGTCTACTAGTTTGTCCAACATAAGGCGCATCACAATCCATACAATTTAATATGACATTCATAGAATTAGAAGCAGGGAGAGGGTCCTTACAAACCCTGATGAAGCTATTCATTTTGTTGATCCTGAAGTACGAGAGTCGAACATCCAAATTCTTGACGATGTTTAAAACGCTCACATATTGAAGGAACATATGGTATCGTGAAATATGTAATATTATTCACAAAGGAATCTGGTTTAGAAAACAGTTTCTTACGGCGGTCAAATCATATGTGGAAAATAAAATTTAAAGAATATCCATTGTTTAAAAGAATGTTAATAGCCATTTTAATATTTTTATGATGATAAACAGGAAACATGGGACAAACGGAAAACCTTGTCTATCAAACCAATAACTGTGCCTCTTTTTAGCAAAGAGGATGTTGAGACATAAAGTGAAGGTATCTACCGGAAAAGGTATCTTTTCCGGTCAATGATACCAGTCAAAAATTATAAAATTATTATCAGAAATTAAAGTCACATCTAAAAAATTAATTTTATTGTCTTCAGCGATTTTCATTGTGAATTGTAGACGAAAATGAAAGGAATTGAAAGTGTCAAGAGTGTGATTAAGAAAAGAAGGAGGAATGGCTAAAAGAACATTATCCACATATCTTAAAAGGGAGGAGCAAATTTTAAGGAACGGATCGTTTTGTTTTCTAAGTCTTGCAACACAATGGCGACTACAATAGGAGACAAGGGAAACCTCATTGGCGTGCCAAAGAATGGTTTGTAAGTGACATTGTTAAAGGAGAAAAAGGATGAATTCAATATAAACTTAACTGCTAAAAGGAATTTATTGCAAGGTATGTTGCAATTTGAAGAGATATAACTCCATCTGGAAGAAACACTGTCAATCTATTGGCACATTAGTGAAAAGAGAAATCACATTCAACGAGACTAATTTAAAGTTGTTGTCGAGATGTGTATTAGACAGTTTCTTAACCACATCGTAACTGTTGAAAACGTGACTGAGAAACCGGAAAACTCTTGATCATAATCTTATGTAAATATGTGGCTAAAAAATGTAATGGACTGTTTATGGATGATACAATTATTCTAAACGGGCAGTTCGGTTTATGTATTTTGGATAAACATTAAGCTCTCGATAGAATACCATTACTACAATAAAATGCCTTATAAGTGGAAGCTGAGATAAAGTTAGAATTTTTCTATCTCATTAAATTTTCTCGTAAACTGGTTATTATCTTCATAACGGGGCTTCTTCCAACCACCAAATACGTGTTGGTGTTCATCAAAAGCTTTTCGATTTCTCTAACATATTTGTCTTTATCCTAAGCAACTGTGACATTACCTTTGTCTGCGCGAGTCAAAATTAATTATTATTGTCATTAAGAAACTTGACTGTAACCAACTTCTTGATCCACCAACTTGACCGACTGATCCAACTTGACCAACTCAGTCAATTCAGAGTCCGGTCAAAATCGTCTCTGTTGACTGATTAAGAAAGTAAATTGTTTACAATTTCTAAAGATTGATTTCTATTAGCCAATTGATTGATCGCAGGAAGTTTTCTTATGTTGTTTTCGAAACTCTTGATGAACTCCATAGTTAGCATGTCATTGTTATACTGGAAGACTGAAATTCTCGCTCAGCTATAACAAAGATTGTAAATTCTTTGGGATGTTAATGGATGATAAATTAACAAACCATTTGTTGTTAATGTCACAAAAGGAAAAGTGGTTATTATTAAAATAACCAGAATCAACCTTAATTTCAATAATGTCATCAGATTGAAGGATCGGTTTTGGAGGCTCAAAGGAGAACTTCATATTGTTTGGATTTCCGACATTACCAGGTGTAAAAGAGAAACTACAAAAATAACGTACAGACTCAAACTTATGACTTCAAGACATGCTTTGACCGTAGAAACGTAAGTTTCTTGTTGAGTCTATTTTGTTGATTGTAAAGAAAGGAATGTAATGGTCCCATTTGTTACGAAAAGAAAGAGTTGCAAACGGACAAAGGAATGCGAGAATATAAAGCTCTAGAAATTTTATAAATCTGAGCGCGTGCAAATCTAGATAAAGGCTAAAGGTCAATACGCAATATTCCTTTTGTAAACGCGTGTTTAAAGAGTCTAAATTTATAAATAGTCCTCGGATGTGTGAAATTTCTAAACATCTTGAAACAATTATTTACGCGTGGCGGTGTGACATTACACAAAATACAATTACGCAAAAACTTAATTTTGACTTTACAGCTAACAATTAATTTTTGATATTTAATGCATTTCTTCATTTTTAATCATGCCTTTAATTGGGAGGATGTACAGATTTTAGATCGGGAACCATTTTTGAGTAAAAAATTGATTTCTGAAATGTTATATATAAAAAGACAAAAAAATGGTTTTCCTTTTGTCCCATCCTGTTTATCATCATAAAAATATTAAAATGGCTATCAACATTCTTTTAAACAATGGATATCCTTTAAATTTAATTTTCCACATATGGTTTGGCCGCCTTAAAAAACTGTTTTCTAAACCAGATTCCTTTGTGAATAATAGTCAGGACATAAATACACATGATCCTGTTACATATTTCACGATACCATAAGTTCCTTCAATATCTGAGCGTTTTAAACATCGTCAAGAATTTGGATGTTCGACTCTCTTTTCATCAACAAAATGAAAAGCTTCATCAGGGTTTATAAGGACCCTCTCCTTGCTTCTAATTCTATGAATGTCATATACAAATTAAATTGTATGGATTGTGATGCGTCTTATGTTGAACAAATTAGTAGACAACTGCATACCAGAATCAACGAACATCACAGTCATATTAGAAGCAATACTAATACTCAGTCTATCATCATCAATCACAGGATCGGTTTTGATCCTGTCTAATTGGGAGGACGTACAAATTTTAGATCGAGAAACATTTTTACATAAGAGCTTGACTTCTGAAATGTTGTATATAAAAAGACAAAAAAATGATTTAAATTTGCAAACTAATACTGAACGTTTACCAGAAATTTATTTAAATGTTGTAAACAACTTGTCAAAAATTTAATTTAGTTTTCCAACATAACAAATACGTCTGCAACTTTGCTTATGTGTACATATATATATTTAAATATTTATTCATTTAACTTTTTACCGTTTATAAATTGGTCACATCTATTTGTTAAAGACTAGTCGTTCTTTGTCTTTGAAGGTGTTGATTTGTTTCCACTTATCTCCTCGACTCGTCATTATCTTCGATGCCTGGAAGTATGTTTCAATTTCACAGTTTTAACTTCTGATTTCTTTAATTTTTATTTCTTTTTTACTCTATCTTCAGTTTATATTTATTTAAAAAATTTTTTAAAAATGGACATTTAATTCTTTGCATCTTTTTAATCTTTTTACGTTAAATTTTAATATTTTTTCTATTATATATTCGTTTACATTATCCATTTATCTTGTTTTATCTTTACATAGGCGAGATAATGATACCGAGACATTTAGTACTACTTTGGCATTCAATCTCATCGATTCAGATATGTAACACCTTTGTTATATTTTTACCATACCATCACATGTGCGCTGAAGATGACCCAAAAATAGGATCGAAACGTTCGCTATTTTTTCTTCTTTTTATTTTTATTTTTTATTGATGCTTTTTATTGTATAATAAATAAATAAATGTGTCACAACATCGACAATCGACATAGATTATTGCTAATTTGTTAATTTTATATTTCGAGACTTATATCTTTATTATTTGTTATATATATTAAAGCTCATAAATTTCTATCTTTGTAGGAGTTACATTATAGATTAAATTATAGATTAAAATATCATAATAAATTTTGTAAAATATGATTTTCTTCTTAATTATTTATTTATCAATTTTAATATAGTTTAAAATTATCATAACGTTAAATCTTATAGACTTAGTAAGCCTGAAGCAACAACTGCCGATCATTTATGGAACGCTATGAGATCTAAGCTAAATGACTATCCTAAGTCGTATCCTAAGTATGATTTTGATATAAAATATGCGGTAAATTTGTGGATTATGCAGAAATATCCTTCCGTGTTGGAGGTGACGCGAAATTATTCTAGTTATCTTGTAACTATATCGGTACAATTTTACAACAAATTAGAGAAACAATATTATATACCTATTACTTATGCTACGGAGTCGGATCTCAATTTTACCATAACTTGGACAGATATGTGGTTAACACCATGGCATTCAGAAATTGGATTTTTCTTTTTTAGGAATAATGAATGGATTATTATCAATGTACAACAAGCTGGTAAATATTGAAAAATAAATTTACATCTAAATTTACATATTGAATATTAAATTTATATTATATATTATATATTAATAAATTTACAATTATGTTGTATATAACTTCAAGTATATACAGGGTGTCCCAAAAGTCTGGACACAGTCGAATATCTCGTATAGAATGCATTTTAGAACAAAATGATTTAGACAAAAGTTGTAAGGATTAAAAAGATATATTTAACTGTAACATCCATTTGACATTGAGTGACGTCGCCAAGCTTAGGGCAAGGTCAACTTGAATTTTTTAAATGGAATCCCCTATTTTTTATTGCATATTTTTGTAGCTTACCTCGAGAGCTTTCCAAAACACTATAATAAAGTATTTCTTCATTGAATACTTTTCAAGTTACGAGGCTTGAAGTAATTTTTTAATTTTACATAAACCATAAAATATCTAGTAAAAAATTCATTTTTGGATTATTTTACCTTAATACTTTTATGTACAAAATAATGAGAAGAATCAATTGGTGTAAAGAAAACATACAGTTGTTTCGAAGAAAAAATATGTAATTTACAATTAACAATTCCATATTTTTTCTTCGAAACAACTGTATGTTTTCTTTACACCAATTGATTCCTCTCATTATTTTGTACATAAAAGTATTAAGGTAGGATAATCGAAAAATGAATATTTTACTAGATATTTTATGGTTTATGTAAAATTAAAAAATGATTTCAAGCCTTATAAATCGAAAAGTACTCAATGAAGAAATACTTTATTATAGTATTTTGAAAAGCTCTCGAGATGAGCTACAAGAATAAATAATAAAAAATAAGGGGTTCCATTAATAAAATTGAAGGTGGTCTTCAAAGAACTTTTCAAGGTAAAACCAATGATACCATCTTATGTCCCCCTTCAAGCTATACAACTTTTGTCTGAACAATTTTTTTGTATTCGGCTTACCAACGGAGATATTCAGGTGCGTCGATTAAAATGGGCCACGGTGTATGTGATATAATATTAATATATATATGACATAAATTTTAATTAAAAATAATCATAAAATGTATTAAAACAAATATATATATATAATATAAGATATAACAAAAGATATTGCAAGAATATTGAAATTTTAATAATACTATATATTTGAAATTTTCATGTCTTGCTGTAATTTGTAGAATTGCTGATACAGCCTTCATGTTAAATAATAAAAACGAAAGATATAAACTTTTCTAATAATAATAATAATATATTTAATATCAAAATATCTTTAACATCTCGAAATATGTTCAATCAATATATATCATTTCAAAGTATTTAATAATTGACAAATGTAATTTATTTTCTAACAGGATACTATCGTGTCAATTATGATATTACGAACTGGCGAAAAATTGCACAATACTTAAATTCTGAAAAATATAGTAATATACATGTTCTCAATCGAGCGCAAATCATCAATGATGCATTTCATTTTGCGATAGAGAAGAAACTTAAATTCTCCTTTTTTTGGGAACTCGCTTCTTATTTGGCACAGGAAACAGATTATATAGCATGGTATCCTATGCTCAAAGCATTTGAATTTCTATCGAACATCTTTCCATTCTTAAATTTTTATCCTGAATTTAAGGTATATAAATATATATATATATATATATATATATATATATATATATTTAATAACATTTTTTTATAAAATTTATCCATTACATCAATTATCTATTTTATAATACAATAATTTCGTATCATAATAATGAATTCTTTTAAAAATAGAGATATGTAATGAGTTAAACAAAAAAATTAACATGTACATTAATATTTAATTATTTTTATACCAAAATTCAGAAATTTAAATTCAAAATACGTTTACGTTACATATTTGTTATATATTTTTTCTGTATATTGAATACAATTACATAAATTTTGAATATTTCACTAAGTTATTTTTCTATAATAATAATACTATATAATAATAATAATATTTATATGATAATTGTAGATCAATTGTGTAATTAATATTTATTAATTAGTTTTAGAAAATTATAGAATACGGTATATAAAACAATTATCTTTGTTATATTAATTTTCTTTCGTAATATTCGAACGTTTACGATGTTAAAAGTATACCAACATTTTGCAGAGAAATTGACTTATATAATTTTAGCGTAATTTTTTTACATTATACAACACATAATAATTTTATAATAATTCACTTGTAAATGCTTGTTTTATCAAAAATATTCATATTAAAGTTTATTATACTTAAAATCTATATTTGATACGCCACAGATTTAAATTATGGAAATATTAATTAAAAAAATAAAAATTATATATCAAAATCGATACATCATTCGATATAAAAATATGAACACATTAAAATATATACACAAAGTTTCTCGTAAAGCTTGAACGTGCGTGCCTCGACTCTTATTTTTTCATTAGTATGCGACATTCGGCGCTGGCACACCTATTGCGCATATCCTACGATATAGTCTCGCGAAACGTCCGCTTATTCACATTTTTAATTATTACTTTAATAATTATTACGAAAATTGTAGAATAGTAAATGATCTTTCTGTTCAATTTATTGCGTTCTATCCACTCACGAACGTTAGCACATTTTTGTGAAATACTTTATATATCGATATATATGTCAAAAATTCATTAAATGATATCAAATCCATACGCGATGGAAAATAAATACACACAAACGTTAGCACAATATTATGAAACACATCATATATTGATATGTGTGTTAAAAATTCATAAAATAATATAAAACCATACGCGATGGTAAAATATATACACAATTATTCACACATAAATAAGAAATTAGTAAATCTACTTATTATGATACTGACACAAAGTCAAATAAATATTCAAGAAATATGAAAGAAAATTATTTAGTAAATCGTTTGAATGCGTATATTATATCTGTTCTTGTAAATAATGAATAAACTAAATATAATGATAGTTATTAAATTTTAGGACGTGTTAAGGTTTGATTTTATGAAGAATTTTAGATCTAGTTATTGGATTCGGTATCAAAGTAACAGCAGCGACTATACTAAATGTTTATTTCAAGAACTTGCAAAGTGGGAATGTATTATGAAGGATGATCCTTGCGAACGGAAGTCTAATCGTTATTTGAAATGGCATCTAGCAAATCCTAAAAAAAAAAAGTAATTCTTTTCATAATATTTTATACTTTTTATAGAAATATTTTTTACATTCTGCATATATTTGAGAAATTAGTTATCATTTATTTCAAAAATTATTCATAAAACACTAAAGAAACTACTAACACAATTTCGTTAAAAGATTTTTATTTCTTTTTTGGACTGTCTTCTGTAGACTTTTACCTGGATGGAAGAGGTGGACATATTGTAATGGTATGAAAACGGCTAATCGTGTTACATGGAATAAAGTTTATGATGATTACATAAAAGGAAATGATATAATATTAGAATGTTTGTCTTATAGTAAAAATTTGGAAACTGTGTTCTATTATTATTTAAACAAAATACCAGATATTTTATTTAAATCTGAATATAATGTATCTCATCTTCAATTTGAATCGATAGAGCGAGCTTATGCCTTAACTGCTAATATTTTTCTTTCTGCCATTGAAAGACATACTAAAGATACTTATTTACTTACACTTTTATTACGTTATTACGAAATAATAAGACACAGGTGACGATGTTATTTAATAAAAATATACTACACATAGATGTAAAGATTTATGTACGAATTAATTATAAACGTATTGTTTTATTTTTTATAGAAAAGTCAGTGAGATTGTAACATTAATTGTTATAATTAATAATGCGTATTCTAAAAGACAGTTGGACGAGGTAAATTTTAAATAAATCAAATTTGTATATTTTATATAATATTTTCTTATAATTCGGTTCATAACGATACTCTGTATTTGTGACAGTGCAATTATTAAATATAAAATCATTTATTGATAATAATTACTAAAATAATTCATTTTAGATAAAGAAATTTGTAAAAAAAGAGATCAAAAGTTCAACCATTTCAAGTACTGATGTTGAACAGAAGATGGAAACACGATGGTCGGAGATCGAAAATCAGACAAAATATTTTCGATTTTTATTCAATAATTGAATAACTAGATTTCTAAGATATTAAGTATTAAAAAATTAAAAATACAAAATAAATGATTGTGATAATATTTATAAATATATATACTTATTTATTCACTAATGTAATATAATAATTAATAATTGTTTAATTGTATTTTACCAATATAATATTGATTGTACAATATAATATTAAAAAATATTGCATTGTATAATATTATATAAAAAAATATTATATTGTATAGAAAACTCGATTCTAAAAGATGCTTCTTTTTTGAATAGAAAAAGTTTCGCAGAAAATGTGAAAGTTTTTTTAAGTATTGTTTTTTTAAGTATTGTTTTATTAGCAGCTTTATTGCATAGTAATAAGCTCAGATAAATACATTTAAACTTTCGTGTACATTCTTTTTTACCGCAGAATATATTAAAATATTGAAATATAAGAAAGTAAAAAAGATTTAATTTCTCTTTCTCCTCTTTGCTCTCGCTCTTTTTTTCCACTTGTTTCTGTATTGTAATAAATTAATAATCATGAATATGTTCCCATCCGAATTGTCATCCATAACAACGGTATTATTGTGCATTATATTCGGATTAAATGTTGCGTTAATACAAAAACACATGCAAATTGTCACGTTGAATACGTTATTTATTTATATTACGCACTAATATATTAATCATATTATAATCGTTGCAAATCTATTATTATAGATATTTAAGTTGAACTTATTTAACTTGTAAAAAAATGCATAAAAATATGCTGATCAAAATCGAAACAGAATTAAAGAATTAAAATCTCGAATTTGAAAACATAATCTTATAAAACTATCACATTATATAAATATGTTATTAAACTAATGCTAATAGTGATCGGTCTAAAAATGGTAAAAATATCTGGCGATATTTATTACTTGAAGAAAAATAGTTTACACTTGTATCGCGCTTATATTGTAGTTACATTTTCTGTAATGCAGAAATTTCAGGCAAATCTCTCCAGGCTGCTTGACCGAATCATCAATATTCGAGTATCAATTCTCCATTTGCACTAATATCGACGATATACTCTGCTAGTAACTGCTCAGTATTTAAGTTCACGAAGCCAAACCCTCGAGGATAATCTTAATCGTCGAAACGATGCAACGATGTTTTATCTGCTAATTCCGCACTGGACCCGCCTACGACGATCGAATCAGATTGACGTCGTTAAAGATTTATACCTGGCCAAGAAAAAGATTTTTATATCGGATCGCGAGAAAGAGGGAGAGGCGAGCTCGGAGGAGTATATATTGTGTATGGTAGGTGAGAGTGTGTATAATATATTATAGCCAATAATTATACACATGTATCTTAATACAGTACCGGTCAAAAGTTTAGACTCAGCATTGAAATGATACATTTTCGTAAATAACATTGACTTTGACGGTATGGAAACATTGAATCTCAACCAAAACATTGATACATGCTATTTGATAGCCACTTGTTTACGTATTCACGTTCACTTGTTATAATTGTTTTGTTCAGTGTTTATTTCGAAACGAATGTTCACATTACGCGCGTCGTTTTAGTCTGGCTGCGTTACTGCGAAGTTCTCTCAATGTGTTATTATTACCAATTTTCTTTTATTCTCTTTGTTTAAGGTAACTTTAACTAACTTAGTTATTTTTCCAGTGGAAATTTACAATGAAAATCATATTTTATGTGTAAATACAAATCATAGAACAATAGAGATATTTATATACTATTTATTCCGTTTATAGTGCAAATGGGTCGAAAAAAAGAATTAAACGTAGAAACATGCGCTGTATTTGTAGCACTACATAAAGAAGGATATTCTACACGACAAATATCATTGAAAACTAAGATTTCCCAGACTACAGTTGTGAGGACGTTGAGAAGAAAGCAAGAAACCGGGTTAAACACGAGCCGTCATCGTTCTGGAAGACCCAGAGTAACTTCGAAAAGTGAAGATAAGTTCATCTGTGTCCAAAGTAAGCGTTTGCGAACTCGTACTGCACCAGAAATTCGCGAAGAACTGAATGCTACCAGAGAGAAGCCAGTATCTGTACCGACTGTCCAACGCCGACTTCGTGATTATGGATTAAAAGGATGTGTAGCTGCTAGAAAACCACTGCTACGTAAACAAAATAAAGTCAAAAGATTGCAATGGGCTAAGAAACATAAAAACTGGTCGATTAATCAATGGAAAAAAGTATTATTTACAGATGAATCAAAGTTCGAAATTTTTGGGGGAAAACGTAGGCAGTACGTTCGTCGCCAGGTCGGCGAACGCATGAAAGAGCAGTGTGTAGTACCAACAGTGAAGCATGGAGGTGATTCGGTTATGGTTTGGGGGTGTTTTGCTGGAGAAAAAGTTGGCGATCTCGTAAAAATCGAAGGGATTATGGATCAACGACAATATCACAGTATTTTACAACTCCATGCTTTTCCGTGTGGAAAGAATATAGCTGGTCGTGGTTTTGTTTTCCAGCAGGATAATGACCCTAAACACACATCAAAATTGTGCAGAAACTACATTATGAACAAAGAAAAGCAAAAAGAGTTAAAATATATGAATTGGCCCCCTCAATCACCTGATCTGAACCCAATTGAACTTTTGTGGGATGAATTGGATAGGAACGTGCGAAAAATGCGACCAACGAATCGAAACCAACTGTGGGATTTCCTGCAAGTATCCTGGACTAAAATTTCCGCTCTGGCTCTGAAGAAATTGATAGAAAGGATGCCCAAAATATGTACAGCCGTTTTGAAGGCTAAAGGAGGTTATTTTGAAGAGTCTAAAATATAAATAAATTTATATAATCCAATTATTTTTGTGGTAATTTTTAATTCATCGACCGTTTTGCTTTACAACCGAATTTTTTAACTAATATTTGTTGCTAAAAATTTTGATTATTGATATAAAACGCATAAGTATAGAGGTGAGTCTAAACTTTTGACCGGTACTGTATATAAAAAGATTGTATTCATTATTATTATTTATACATATATAATTAAAGTCAATGCAATAATCTATTTATTATAATTAATATTCAAGCGATACTGCTACTATTTTCGAAGACTTAAGGAAAAACATACATCCAGATGGCTCGGAAAAAACGATTTTTCAATTTCTGCATTTTTTTATATAATAGTATAATATCTTAAGAATATTTCTTTAAAGTTTCAAATCAAAATTAGAAAAAATAAAAAGATAGCGTTTTAAACAGGTAAGCGCTAGACTTCACGATTAGCGGGTAAATATTTACCTGGCAAACGCCATAGCATCTGCACTCGTTTTCTTTTGCTAAATTATTCACTAATGTCATATAAGAATTAATATTTGTTTAATTGTATTTAATCAATATAATATTAATTATACAATATATTATTAAAAATGTTGTATTGTATAATATTGTATAAAAATATTATATTGTATAATATTGGATAAAATTATTATATTACATATTAAATTGTATTACTTTTCTGTATTGTTCCGTAAATTTAATACATAGATGTGGATTATATATTTACATGTGTTTATTTTACACAGATACATATATACACAAGGTACATATACAAAGTGTTTCCAGTATCTCGCAACAAAGTAAAACCATATGTAAATATCGCTGAAACTGAACTAAATAATCCTATATTATTTTGAAAACCACCATGTAAAATTTCGAGATATTAATTAAAAAAGATCGGCCAATATATGCAAGTGTAAGTACAATTAATTCTTCACTTAATTTTCTCTCGCAAATAATTTCTTAGAAAAATTGTCTTTATAAATAAAAGCTTTATTTACGAGAATGGAATAAAAAACATAAATAAATTTATATTTGACTTCTGTCGATATGTAAGATAAGCTATGCTACGTATAATCAAGATGGTATTTATATAACACTAGGTATAACCTTCTATATATTGGTAGGTACGCCGACAGAGCCATCAGTTCATGATAGTCTCTTGAAGCGATCAGTTCACGATTGAATACTTTTAGTGGTTTAAATCTAATATAAAACCTGGCTAATTTAACTAGTAAGATAAGGTATTAAATATATAATAAAATATTTACCTTTCTTTCTTTAAATGTGCATACAAATCAAGAGACACGGTAGTGTCTTGAAGTCGAGTCATCATCACTCAGGCGCAAGACACACCGTGTATCTTTACGCGAAAGGCTAATAACGATTTCGGCTGGTCTGCACTGGTGTGCCACCTGTGTAGAGTTGGTGCAAGTGTGTGCAGTACGTACACCCATGCAGTGTTGCACTCGATATTTCGACTACCATCACGGCAGTGTATATCTTTTTAGCCAAACACAAAGAGTCATGAGACGCGAATCGGCATACAACATTTATGATACAAGTGAAATTAAAATTTCAAAATTTATCGCGATGGCTTCATCTTCGTCTTCGAGTAGTGAGTATATAAATATACGTAATAAACATAAATACTTATATCAATATATAAAATTTAATACGCATTCAATACGCATCAATGTTATCGACAATTACCGATTACACCATCTGGCTCCAACAAATTTGTGAGAGCCACTTTGTGTACACCCAACATGCACCTGTGCGGTGTACTGAGCCCAGACGAATACGCAGCTCCAATGAGGGACTGCACCATTCGACCAGCCGAACATACAACACCCGAAATGTGCAGTCGGTGCAGACCAGCCGAAATCGCTATAAGTTGCGAGTAATGCATATTATCGGTTCTCAATAACCGCTGAATCGATCAAATTCTTATTACATTTAATCAATTGCTTGGGTTCGATTTATATAAGGAAAGTGTCTTTATTTTTGCTGTATGTGCTCTATAAGCAGAAATATAACGATGCAAAGTTTCAATGTAAAACTTTTTAATAATTAATAGCGATTTCGGCTGCACCGACTGCACATGTCGGGTGTTGTATGTTCGGCTGGTCGAATGGTGCAGTCCCTCACTGGAGCTGCGTATTCGTCTGGGCTCAGTACACCGCACAGGTGCATGTTGGGTGTACACAAAGTGGCTCTCACAAATTTG